AACGATAGAGACTTTCTCGTCCAAGTGTTTACAGAAATCTGAGATCTAAAAGGCCGGCGATGCTGACAATCGGCGGTCTTGAAACTGGCTTCAATCTCGAACACCTCCTTTCGATACTTTCGATCTCAGACGTTAAATATCCTTGCTACGTACCATAGCTCACATTCTGGAAAAGCGTCAATATGATTCTAAACTATTATAGCAGCTAACGGTCGATAAATTTGTAGTTACTGGTTATCCATATTTACAAAAATATATAGTTGAGCATATAAATTATAAGTAATAATGAGCTACATCTAACATTGAAATAAAAGCTTTTGCTCTTCCTTTTTTTAAAATTCAATTATTTTTTCATTGTGACGATGATGCGGATACTATTTCTTAACTAATTTTGATACTATTCAGACCATCTAAAGAACGAGCGATAAAAGCATAATATCTAGTTATAATAAACATCATTACACTTTAAAAAGAATTAAAAAGAGAAACTCATTTCATTGTTTTCCAGTGAATTGATTATATAGCGAAAGTACTAGAATGAATAATAATAAAAATTGATTAGAATTTCATTTTCATTTAATATCGTTTTCATAAATATATGTTATTTAATAATCTATATTTCGTAAATTATAGTTATTGTCAAAGAATGCAGACAAAACTGCGAAATCGCATGTAAGGAAATGTTTGCAATAAGTAGGTTAAATCATTTAGAATAAAACATTAAATATTGTAATATAATTTAAATATAAATAATATTTATTTTAGAAAGAACGTCGTCTAAAGACGAAGATACCTTGAATTTATCATTATCGCTTGGTAGAAATTGAAAACTCCAACATCACTAGCAAAGTATTGTATTAAATTAATTAATTTAAATATTGCCAATATAATATTGTTTGGAATCAAATAAACTATATGCTACATATTTGTATAAATAAAATTTTGTATAATATAACTCCTTTAATTTGTTTGTAATCTATTTAAATTATAAGTTTAAAAACCTATTTTTTATAAAAGTAAATAAATGAATTATATAATTTTCTATCCGCATATTAATAAAAATCTGTTATCTAGTAGTTACAATAACATTAATTATGTTACAATTAAAAAAATTTGGATTTAATTATTTAGTGAAATGTGTGTTAACAATATCTAATTTAAATATTATCTATTTATCTATTATTATTTATTTATAGAATTATCTATTCAAATTGTTTCATACACAAATAATGAATAAATAAATGAGTAGAATAAATAAGAAATAAAACGAAGTTTGAGGAAACAATAGTGAAATGTTTCGATTTTGTGCAATTCAAAAATTGAAGTAGCAATCGAACAGGCTAACTATATATCAAACAAGTATAGCATAACATTTCATTTATAACATCAAAATGTAAATAAATAGAATTGTATGAGACATTTAATCATGCATACCATAATTTTTTAATTTAAATGTGTTAATTCTACCTGATGTTCATATTCTAAAGAAAACCAAATAAAAAGACTAGTTTTATTTTACCTTTCATTCTTATTTTATTTATTATTTTTAATTTAAACAATTCCAAACAATTACATTTTATTGGGTTAACATTAAAAATGCTATTATAGATATAGATATGCTATATCTATATGCTACATATAGATACTCATATTCAATATATGAATCAGCTTCACTCACAAGGACATGTATTAATATTTGAAAATAGAAACAAAGGGTTTATGAAACCAGATTTAACTTAGTAATCGATTTTAGATATAAGACTTATATTTTTGTATCTATTTCCCAATCTTTTCAAATACTTATTTCAATCGAGATAATAAATAATTTTTTCCATTCAAAATACAATTTAAAATTATTAAGAAAATCGTAAGTCATATTTTAGTAGTTTGAATAAAAATTTTTAATTATATGAAAAATCTAAATAATAGTAAGCATCTCATTATTTTATTAAAAAAATTTATTTGATTCCATTCGTAATTCTGCATAGCAATATTTTAATGCTTCCAAAAAATATCTTTTACGTATTATTTTTTTAATTAAATAAATAATAATACAATTAACATCTAATTAAGAATTCTGAAATAAATACAATAACTAAAATATAACAAATGCCGCTAAAAATGATCTGTTGGTTCAAATGAAAACATAATAGAAATAACATTTTATAATTATTGTAAAAAATCCATTAAAATTAGGTGATATTGGAAGATGTTAATTTATGTGAAAATATTTATTATTTTATAAAACAATAAATCAATGTTTTTGATATAAAGACAACTTTGAACTCAGAATCCAACCATTAAAAAACATCACTCGAACTTGTTTGTTGAGATATTATCTAAATTATTCCTGCAAATTAATTATTTTCATATCTACCGGAAATATTAGAATAGATTATTATACATTACTCAATGTACTAATTAAATTATTGGTGGTTCAATTAAATTTTTCTTTTCTTTTGAGGATTGTACAAACATTATTGACCGTGAATCTGAACCTACACTGCCTTGCTGCTATATCTTTAAAATCCAGTAAGATACGTGTTTTCCAGTTTTTTGGTTTAGACTGAAATTATATTTGTTTTGGTATTACCTTATTTGGTATGACCTTAGATAATCACCTATTTAATAAGCCATATATTTATAGTATGAATTGAATAAAATTATCAATACAGTGATAAAGAATTATAGTTTATTTATCATTTTATTAATCGTTCAAAATATTTAATAGTATTATTTAATTGACTTATTATCAAAACATATATTTGAATAACAAAACTATTAAACAATATGTTTCATTTAAAAGATTACATATAAATAGTAAATTTTATTTATTAAAAATATTAGAAATTCTAGAAAAATTAAATGCTTGTATCTCAAGAAATTAGTTTTTATACGCTTTTTCTATTCTATACATTAATATTATTATTAAATCATAATATTCTACATTATAGACATGAAGTCTTTAATATATATCTTATTTATTAATTATTATATATATTGTAGCACAGGTATGTAAATGTACAAAAATTCATCTTGATAAAAATAAAATTAATAAATTCATTATCTTATATCATAGTTAAAGGTGAATATACATTAGAAAACTGCATTGCCTGCTGCGACAGTAAGATGCATCAATTCATATTATATTAATGATCTTATAAAATTGATAATTTTATAATAAACATTAAATATTTTTAACGATATTTGATAAATTCAATTATTAGAAATAAAATATAAATAAAACAAAATAAAAAGCAGCAATGCTTGAATCCTAAATATGCTATTGTAGTATACCCAACTAGTTTTATAATATTGAAGAATAGATTTAAATTTCATTTAAATAAGAACTTTGAAATGACACACACACACACACACACACACACGCATATATATATATATTTATTTATAATTAGTATTATTGAACATAATAACTAAAACATTAAATTTATTTATATTAAACTTAATTTGTTGTTAGTACTTTTTTAAATAAAATAAATTTTTTAAATAAAATTATTAAATAAATTACCATTTAATATTTTTAATAATTATAAATAATTATAATATTTAGTTTTATAAAATTTAACGCTTTTATGAAATTTGAATATTTAAATTGGTATAAACTGAAATTTTCATTAGATAAATATTAGTTTTATTATTTTAATATTTTGTCTCTCGAATATTCTTTTTATGAATGTCATAAAAAATTTTAGAATATATAAAGCATAAAAAAATCTTATAATAATATCATAATTTTCTTAAATTGGTTCATCATTGAAAATCGTTTACTATAAAATTAAATAAAAATTCAGGTTTTGTTAAAATTTAGATATTTCAGTACACGGAAAACAATTCTGCAAGTATTCTTGTAATTTAAGTTTTGAATGTAAGTAATTATAAATATATATTCACTTTGATTATTAATTTCTTATTTCAATTTTCTAAAAATAAATTAAATAATTTATGTTCATCTCTCTGTAATAATACACCATTTAATGTATAAATTCAACTAATATTATTTCTTATTTGTCTTCTTACTATACTTTGATTAATGCTTATTAATATTTTGTTTGCTTTTTTTCTTTACTTTCTTACATTTTAAAATAAATTAATAAAGATTATATTTATTTGTTAATTTCATTACATAAACATTCTTCATAAAATAATTAATTCTATAGGATTCATTTCATTTATCTATATACTCTAATGACAGTAGTTTCAAGTTAGAACTCCAATAAATGTCTTGCAAAAATATCTTAAGAAACACTTATAACTCCATCGGAACTATATTATAAGCTAATTAATCTAAAAGATCCTAGAGCTATACGTCTGATCAGCAGGTAAATATTACAACTGATATCGAGAAGAAATCTAATATCGAATATGAGATTTCAGACCAACCACATTGATAATAATCAAAAGAAAACTGAATAAGCTTACAGAAGTAAAAAAAGGAGGTAAAATTATTGTATAAAATCGTGAGTTAACATAAATAAAAGTAGTTTAATGTAAATAATAACAAAACAATTAACTTTTAAGCATACCCAAAAATATAGATATTGAAGACAAACCATAAGTGTATGATAAAACAATGATTGGCTGTAATAAAATTTACATTATAAAAACATGACACTATAACTAATACATATTTTAATATATTTTAAGCTGTTAATGTGTCGAAATCTTAATATTAATTATAAAGATTTAGATATTTTAGATATTATTTAAATGCTTTGTTAATAATAATTAAAATTTAATTAAAATTAAAACAATAAAAATAATTAATATTAATAATATATCTTTTTTTTTATTAAATACATTTAAATAAGACTTTCATCAATATTTATATATATTGAGTGATAGTATGTTAGTAAAATATGTTCATACACATAAATATACGTACATCTTCCTATATTAATTCTCATTCTTTTAAATATATACTTTTTATTTTCTACAATTTTTTTTATTTTTTTTTTAATTTTCATAAAAATATGTACTATATTATTTCTGTATTGTTTAGTAAATCAAAACGTCACCTCTAGAAAGGCGTGTATAGAAAACTGTGAAAGTAAGATATTTTAATAATTATAATTTATTTTATAATTATATATAATTATATTTAATATATTATTATTGATAATTGACTTAAATTTATATTTAGTTTGTTATATTATATAATTATATATAAAAATATATTTTGATTAATAATAATATTATTAAATTAATTTGTAATAATAACGAATCAGATTATTTGATAATAAATAATGACATTACAATGGATACTTGTGATCCTTATATGTTTAGGTAGTTTATTTCTATATTTATTTTAATTGATCAAGAATTATAACACCTTAAATATTTTAACAGTAGTAATCTACAATAGTAATAGTGAAGGAAGATGTAACTACTATTGTATGGTATTAATACTGTCCAAGAAAAAAAAAAGTTTAATGCATCTTCATCTTTTATATGTACTGTTTTATTTTTATTATTATATGCTTCATTCAAATATTATGCAACCTATTGCAGAAAAACTTTGAAACACTGGATAAACATAATTTTAACATTCAATTATATTTAAATAAAATAATAAAAAGTATTATTTGAAAGTTAATATAAAACTCTTTTATATAAAAGAATATACAAATTCCACGATTTCATTTAGAAATAATCACAATTTTATTTTATTTAAATTACATATTTTCTTAAATAAATAATAATATAAAATATATTTAATGCTTAAATCGAAGGAATTAACATTAACATATTGTCCCACCTTTACGATTATACTTTAATTTTACAATATAACTACAGGATTCTATCATGATGGAATTTTCTTTTAATAAACTTTATTAAATATTGTTCTTAAAATAATAAATACTAACACTTATATAATACTAGTAATATACTTTTATAAAAACACTTTATATATATATATATATATACTTTAATTTCTATTTGTTGAGTTTCACTCAATGTTTAAGAACGGTATTGAAACTAGTATATTAGTGCAATATGTTATTTTAAACATCACATTATTTTAAATCAATTATTTGCAAAAATTATTTCTAATGCATTTTTTTCGTTTTATTATGATTTAAATATTCTAATTAAGGTAAATTTGTAATTCAACATTTCCAACTTTTATTGTGTATTTCCTCTACATTAATGTAGGTTTAACTCATTTTATAATTTAATCTACAGTAATAATATAAAAAGATTGTTCGTATGTAAAACACTTTCAAAGAGTTAAAAAATAATAAATTAGATAACAAGTAGCAGTATTGTCCAAATGAATTAAAAATTAGTTCATTTGAAAAATATGCGAAAGACAAATTTAATGTGATTTAATTTAATTTAATGTAAATATTTAGAATTAAAATACATATTGTATATGAAGTATATACACTATTTATCCATAACTATTTGATATATAAAAACAATCATATGAATGTATAATTTAAATAAAAATATATGAAATTTTCTTACAAATAAGAAAATAAAAAATTATTCAAGACAATGCAGTGGAATAAATATTTACAAAATCTGCTAGTATATAAAATTCAATAATTTCTAATCTTTCTTAACTAATATATTATAATCTGTTCGAGAATGTGAGAACAATTTCTTGCCACAACTTCCCACGGTCGCTGGACATTCGAGATGGTCAATACATCTGGAAAACTCCAGTGAATATTTAGCTTATTTATTCTTGCTTATCTAAAAACGTGCTCATGCTTTTCCGGTGCAGTAAAAACTAATATTAATTAAAAAAGATTAGAAAATGTCAAATTCAGAGAAGAAAGAAGCAAGAGAAAACAGTGATGATATGGCAGCGTCAATTGCGAGTGGAATAAGAATCACTTGTAGTGCTGCCGAAGAAAGACTGTCAAACGGACATGCTCTTGTTGCAGCAGGACAAGTCAATAGGATAGTCGCAAACAATGCAGAAGAGCGTGACCGTCCCCATAATATTGATGATGTATGGATGTGTATAGGAGCTCATCTATTCATCCGACAACAGGAACAACAAACAAGGAATCAGCTGGAAAAATTACTCGTTAGTGCCAGATTCTACCCAACGTTTACTGAGATAACAAACTTTTTATCAGCTCCAGGCAGAGTATTGAAAAATTTTGAGGAATCCAAGGAGTAAGCCTCAAATTTCAGTACAACACCATAATTTAACGAACTCAAGACCATCTTGTGTAGTGACACCTCTTATACAAGAAACCATTCAAGAAATCGTATCTTTACATTATATTAAGAAAATTCTATAACACCCATAATAAATTGTATAATAAATATATAATTAAACAAAACAAAAGGGGGAATAAACTGTGAAAATATTTTACCTCACCGTAAATGGTAACCACAATGAAAATAAGGATAAACTAACGAATCAAATAAACTTGTGTTCACTGTTGAAAGGAATCATCTGCTGATAACTTGCAACAATTCAAGAAGTTGCTAATCACAGATAAAAAGGCATTTATAAGGAACCAAAGGCTGTGTCATCTAAATATATATAAGGCAGTCATTGTACTATCTATATGAGCAAACTAAGTTGCGATAAATGTCACAAACAACAATAAAAATTATTGTACACGAATCGACCGGCAACTTCAGAAGAGCTAAGGGAGACTTCATCCCCAATGACTAAAAGGAGGAACAAGCAATTTATTTAAACAGTCAAGAGTGTAGAGAGCATAACGAAAAACAACACTGCTACAACACGCTAGTCTTCAGGTATGTTCAGTTCACATCAACATTCTCAAGGCCACACATTCTACCCAGAAGTGTGAGTATCATTCTGATTATTTACTGGCAATACTAGCCGAAGAAGAAACACTATAGCTTTTACGAAAACTGACATTAGTAGTTTCGATTCTGTGCTTCACGTACCCTTCAGAACAAGACAATTAAGCTCGTGGCCAGGCTCTCAGAAGTACAAGTTCGTGTCTATGTCTGCGACACACTCGAGACAACTAGTTCGCGTTATGTTCGCGATGCAATTAGAGGTACAAGTTCGCGTTTATGCCCGCGACCCAATCAAGCATCAAGCTTTCGCGTATATCCACTATAGACATACTCATACAAGTAAGCTATTTTTTAGCGCCACAGCGCACATTAAAATCGATTCTGCAAAACCGAAAGGTACAAGCTCAAATTCTTACAAAGAAAGTGTAAGTGACTATACAAGGCAACAAGCCGCAGACAAGCAATATGTCAACGAGAGCATCAAGAGATGCAGGATCAAAGGAGATATTTAATCTCCGGACAAGAAATAAAGCATATGAAGGGAACAACTCCAGTATCCGATCAAGAATGCTTTTAAAAAAGACGCACCAGAGTTCTTCACACAAGAGAAGCCGGCAAGGGAACGCCAAATAACAAAGATGTAGACATACACGGTAAAGGCCAATTAAGAGGCAAACCTAGTCATATCCAACTCAAAACATGTGGGACCTCAATAGAATCCTAGGCATAAAAGACTAAAACAAGAGGTACCATATCAGTTGAAAAGTCAACAGCACTTCTTCCCTCACTCAGGTGAGCATAAATGGTCAAAGGAAGGTTCAATGAAATTCTTTAGATAAAGGCAACCCACGTGCTGCCTAAATTTTATAACGAGCACAAAACCCTACGGCCACAGGCCACAAGCATACCTGCATATGGGCCATGTCGCATTGTCTCACAGCATACTCCATTCACGTCGACACAAAAATGGCAACAATGTTTCAATGCAAAAAGTTCAAGACACAAAATCGCACAAGGGCAATTGAAAATTGAAAGAAGGATACTCCTCAAGAAAAACTCTTTCAATATAGTGTATGCGCATGAAGAAGGGAATTCGAGCCCAACAATCGATGGGCAAACTACCACTATGTTGATTAATGCCAACCAGACCATTCTCATATACTGTAGTTGATTATGATAGCCCCATGACTAAAAACCTGGAAGATCAGGGGCCAAAACTCAGAAGGCATGGATTTGTGTTTATTTTTTATGTATGTTTGCCACATCAGCTGTTCATCTCGAAGCTATAAGCGACCACACCAAGGAAGGTCTCATAGCTGCCTTTCGACGATTCGCATCTCGCTGAGGCATCCCCCACACATGTATTCAACTGTAATACAACCTTTGCAGAAGTAAAAAATAAGGGAATTAAAAAGGGTCAATTTTAAGAAGCTCAAGGAAAATAAAATTTGCAACCATACTCTCGCAGGACAGCACTCAATGGAATTTAATCCACCAGCTGCACCCACATAGTGAGAAAAATGGAAAGCCGTAGTAAAATAGGCAACGTCCCATCTACGGCAACAAACAAAAAAAGGGGAAAGCTATTCACGTTAAAGAAATCACAAAACAATTGCTGAATTTAAGGCCATTAGAATCTTTAAGCGAATATCCAGACAAAAGTCACGCTGGCACCGATGGACTATAACCAGAGTCGTTACAATTAAAACAGCGGCCACCAGCATGGTAAAACCTACCCATAAATTAGCAGTTCTCTCAATCTCTATACAGGAAAGTAATCATCAATAGAATTGCTGATGGCGGGCGGAATGTTCGCAAATGCGAGAACAATTTCTTGTCACGACTTCTCACGGTCGCTGGACATTCGAGATGGTCAATACATCTGGAAAACTCCAGTGAATATTTAGCTTATTTATTCTTGCTTATCTAAGAACGTGCTCATGCTTTTCCGGTGCAGTAAAAACTAATATGTTGTTTACTGTTAAGACGTAGATTCTGATAGAGTATCAGATATACGTAAAATATCGAGTACTTACATTTCCTCCACTCGGCTTTTTAAGACAATGTTTGCCTTGTTCTTAACCACGCCGCATCTAGTCGATCGCATTGGAAGATCGACCACGCCCAAGAGGACCCTTCGTCTAGCCAAGTCCCAGAGAAGGGAGAGGCGACCAAAGAGAGGTGACCAATAGTAAAACCTCCCCACTTTACGACACTTTCCCGATTAGCATATTCGGGACTGAGCCCGGAAGGAAGTGGAGATGAAGGCCTGCATAATCCATTGTGCTGCCCAAGGTCAACTTCTGATTGGATAATTAAAAGAAGAAGGGATCCCAAGTGAAATTGGGCCAGTGAACTATTTAAGACGGGCAATGTAATGTACCACCACATATTCTTTCTCATTCTTCTTATTCTTCTTGTGATTGAATGGATAAGTCACGACTTACTCTCACGGAGGAGGACCAGAGACAAAGTCGTTCAGCTGAGTCAAGTAAAAGCTCTTTCTACGACTGTGAATCAATATACAGTTAAAATTGATCTCATCAAGCTTTAGATAGAATAGGTTCTGAGTTTCTTGTAATCTCAGCTGGAGACAAGAAAGAAGTTAAGAACTGTAACTGCCTTTCTATTACTGTGATTCAATATACAGTCAACATTGATCTCATCAAGCTTTAGATAGAATAGGTTCTGAGTTTCTTGTAATCTCAGCTGGAGACAAGAAAGAAGTTAAGAACTGTAACTGCCTTTCTATTACTGTGATTCAATATACAGTCAACATTGATCTCATCAAGATTAGATTGCATAGGACAGGCCTTTGTAATCTCACTTGGAGACAAGGAAGAAACTTAAGAACTACGATTATTGAAATGGAACTTCACATCAAGCCAACGAAGAGAGACTGGAAAATTTACGATACACTGCAAGCAAGTCCTTACCGCTAGTATTGTGGAAGAATCACGGTACAATGCGAGTAAGTCCTTACTGCTAGTACTGATTTTATATCTCTCGGGTTTACTCTGAAAACGGACGGCTGAAGTCCGATTAGTGAAGCTTCCCAAATATACTCTAAAAAACAAGACCAGCAATAGAAGCCACACAGTGGCTTTTCATTTCCTCCAACGAACAGCTATTCGCGCCATACTGTAAGAGCACATCGCAACAACGAGAAGTTGTTGACGCCACAGGTGGCGCACAGCTCCGCATAACCTCTATTTTAGGCTCTTACACGACCCATTATTTAGAGGCAACTGCACACGTGTTGAGGTGAAACAGAATAAGATTGTAGTGTTCGATCAGAGCACTACAACGATCATTACCTCAAAAGTGATAATATTCAATAGATTATAACCTATTTCTTTTTACAGTAAATAATAATCTCACCAGTTATATGCAGATAATAAGGAATTGATTATCCTCTAATTCTCCAATAAAGGGATATATCTCAACGTCACAAAAGTATTAAGGAATATAAAGGTCATTGTAATTTCACCATGGCTAATGATTCCAACTTGGAAATCAAGTAAAATAAATGGAATAAACAGCAATAATAAAGATATGTGTTAATTATTGAATCGGTGCATTAACCATTTACTTGCCCAACAATCCCACACATCTAGTGGTTTTTTGTTCTAAGTTGATTTTGCAAGTTTGGCTGACGAGTCAGATTTATGGAATTATTTTTTGAACATAATCTAATCTTCTAAATTTAATGATTTTATAAATAATATATAGAATATTATATGTGTATTTTTTTAACAATATTAGTAAGCTACAAATTAATTAATTAACAATAAATGAATAATATATATAGTTGAAAAAAAGATAAAAAAAATTCTTGGTGTATAAAATGTGTTTATTTATTTTCATAAAACCAATAATTATCTAATAATAATTTAATTTTAATATAAATTTGATGAGCTTTTATCTCGATCAACTATATTAAATAAAACTACATTAATCAAACCCTTCTATAATCTTAATGGTATATGCTTAAATATATATGAATAACGTAATGAAATTCTGCTAGCCCTTTTATAAATATGAAATTATATTTATATACTTACACTCATGTAGTGAGTCCAATTATATTTTCTGGTTTAAAAATGATTCAATTATAAATATTCAATGAAAATTTTTACAAAAATTATAAATGTTTAGCATAATTTTAATAATAATTACAAATAACTATTATACACTATGAAAAATGACATTAAATATAAAATTAATTTTTTTTAAGTTTTATTTGAAAGATGATTTTTAAAAAATCGTATTTTTCTTAATTTTAGTCATTTTACCTGCGTGCAGGAATCATTGCACAAATAATTGTATTGAGAAGTATAATGAAACTTCAAAAAATAGTAAGTAAAGTTATATGAATTTCTAACACTGTATTTTATATTTTCAATATGTTTAATTGATTAAATAAATAAATATAATGATATATTAATTGTTAAAGAAATTTATTTAATGATTTGAAAACCATAAGTAACAAAGTATTATGTAACATAATACTTTTAATTACATCAATCATTAAATCATCTAATTAATTAAGCATTTTTTATATATGTACGAATAAGTAATGGTTTATTTATTGAATTTATTGAACTTGCAAAAAGCAATATACTTCATTCTTTTTATTTAGTTCTTAATTTAAATAATTAATAAAGATTGTACAATATTATGATATAACTAGTTTTCATGTATCAATATAATCTGTAGATATTACTTCATGCACATACACAATCAACTTTTTTATTGATCATTGTGATTCTACTGAAAGTTAATTTTTTTTTAAATCGTATTTTTTCAAATTACTTTGATCGGTTTTGAATAAAAATATCAAGAAAAAAAATGCAATTTAAATTTTGCTATATTTTTACCAAAATGCTAAATACACAAATATTAAATTTATGAAATATTAATTTTAAGGTTATACGTTCATAATAAAATAATATTTTTATAATTATATAAGTTTTTACTGGAGAATATATTGCTTACATGGATAATGTTAGATTTTAAATTGTTCATAAATACGAACGCAAATAATATTATATATAAAAAAAAATAACTTGTAGATTATTCTTTATTTTATATTATTAAATTAAAGAGATTAAAGTATTTATTTTGTTTCATATAGAATCAAAAGAACTTATACAAACATATACAAAAAGCACATGTGAGGCGTGCTGCAATCGTAAGATATACATTTAATTTATTGTATCAAAACATTGATGTTTCAGAGATGTATTTATTCACTACTATATATAATTACTTTTTTTCTTTTAATTATTTTATAACATTATTATAATATATTAAATATATATTACTTAATAATAAAATTATCCAGTTTATTGTCGTTCAGAATTTAAAATAAAATTGTATATATAAATTTAATATTTATTTCTCATATACAAAACCAAATAATAATATATAAGTGATTTTTTAAATACTAATTGTTATTATTTTTATATTTATGCAAGTTTTTTTTTAATTTAGAGCAACCAGCGCATATACAGTATCGGTGCCGTTATTCGTGTATGAAAAAGTTTTCAAGTAAGTAGAACATAGTTTTGTGGTCAATACTTTCTTTATATTTTTAATTTGATTAGAAAAATTGGTTAAATATGAACAATGGAAAATAGTGTAAAATATAGTAACATCTAACGCACTTACTGTTATAAACAATTTTAATAATGTATCATTCAAAATTTATTAACAAGGATTCTGATTTGATAACAAGAATATATGCTCGATTTAGCAGTTTCAGATTAACATCATCAACTTCAATATTACACACACGAGTCTGTCTATTGTACTATTTAAATAATTATACATAACAGGAATTAGAAATATTTTCATCCAATTTTATTTAACTAATTATTTAGAATTTGACTATTTAAACTAACTTTCTACCTCCATACAGCTAATTAAAATTATCTTGCTTTACTCATCATTTTATTTCATAGTTTGAAAATGTATTTTCTTTAAAGCTTTGTTAAATTTTGATATTATCGCAAATAAAAGTATAGTTAGTTTTATTAATGCAGCAAATTTTATACAATATATCAATATTTGGTAATCAACGATTATTCTGTTTTTAAATGTATTATCAAGGAAGTTGTAATGTTTGTTACAATAATATTTAAATTTTATCAATAAACCTTCATGCCATCCCGTCATTTAATTATGTAAATTAAAGATATTTATTCACATATGAAAATTATGTAATTATATATATTCTATATTTTATAGAACCTCAAATTTATAATAGAATAGAGAGCTGCCTTAATGCATGTAAAAGTAAGATAAAAATGTGATTAATATTATTAATTAAAATAATTATGCATATTAGTGTTTTAATTCTGCATAAATTAAAAAATTAAGATGTGTTAGGTATATATATTATCATTTTGTTAAATTTTTGTCATTATATATTTATATTCACTTAAGAAATATTACTAAATATAAAAAGAAAAAAATTTAAAAGCATTGTAATTTTATTTTTCTTTAATTTGGTATTATGAAAACAATAAGCAATCAATAATTACTATCATTATTAAAACATTCATTAAATCATTAAATCATTAAATATGTATACAACCAACTATATCAGGAAAAAGAAAAATTAAGAAAATTGATAATATTGTAGACAGCTGATATAGTTTGTTGGTCGACTAATAATTTCAATTTAGATAACTCCAAAAATCATTTTTACAGTTATTTTATTTGATATTTATTCATTATTTTTTTTTAATTTCTTAATTTATATATATATATATATATATATATATATATATATATGTGTGTGCGCGCGCGTGTGTGTGTGTGTGTGTAAATTATACTAACTCAATTTATATGTTATTAATTTGTTTGCTTCGATATTTTAGCTATCATTCAAGAGTGCAGAGTTGATTGTGAGAAATCATGTGATTTTCAGTTTCCAAAAAGTAAATATATAAAAAAAAGACTTTATAGAGTTAATATACATAGAAATAGCACATTTTCGTTTTAATCAAATTACTATTAAGTAAACATAAAAGATTATAAACATTTTATATTATTTTGATAACGTTATTATACATTTTTTAGAGTCTAAATCTAGGAAACACACAACGATAAGAATTTATGGAATATGGCAATCGATAAAATGAAATGTTTAAATACTGAATCAATAAATATTGTATCACACTCAATTAAAATTATATTACCACATAGCGAAGTAAATTAGAAAATATAAAAAAAAATTCTTAATTTTTGTATTGATTATAGAAAGTAAAAGATTTAATAAAAATTTGTATATAAAACGGTATTAAAATGAATAACAAAACTATCAATTTAACAAAAATACAAGCATATTAAAAAAAAAACTCATAAACAACATGCATAGTTCAAACATTCATACTAAGATTTTTCGATTTTAAAGTTATCTAATTCATGACTCATGAAAGACGGCATTTATAACATCAGTCTTTAATCGATTTTCTAAGTATAATTCGTAATTGATTTTTCACTAAATATTTCGAAGATTTAGCGGTTTCCTTTTAGTATACCACAAAAACTAGTAGTACGAAACTACGAGTTACTGATCGAAAAATATTTAAATTTAAATTTTTAGAATGGAAAGAACAAAATGAACTGAAATCGGGTTGATTGCTCAACACAATCTCGAAAAGTCGGCAATAGATTATAAAGTTAATATTCTGTCACAGACGAAATTATTGTTTTTTAAATATTTTAAGATCTTTCAAGTTATTACTTCCATATTCCAAATTGAACTACCCTAAAAATATATTTTATTTTTCATCCGAATTTTACAATCTATATTAATTAATCATGTCAATAATTGCATTCTCATGGCATTGTAAAATAAATTGCACATATTTTGAAGGAAAATCCAATGTAAGCTATAATTCGCATTGTAGTCAGTAAAGCAAAAAGAATAACAAATAAACTTTTCTGATTATTCCCGGGATGAAATTACGACTTACGAGCAGAAATTGGATGAATGTTCTACAAATAATAGTACGGAGCTGAAACTCGCAATAACTAACTATCACGCACTACTATAAATATTATAAGGAGCAATATTCCTTGCGTAATATTATTATAAAAAATAAAATTAATAAATAGGTATTAAAACGGACATTATATGAATAAAAAACTATTAAATATGTACTCTGATAATAATACAATATATTTCTCTTGAAATCATGTCTTCGCATTATATATACTGTTTAGAATTAGGCTATGGCGATCAGTTGTGTGGTGGGAGAAAAGTGTTGGCAATTCGAAGGGGTAGCACTTTAATTCAGTATTTAACACATCAGCTTTTCGTGCTATAATAATTCTATGTTGACGATCTGAAACTGTGAGATCTTGCTGTTTCTTTTTTGTTGCCACGTGGTGTCAGCATGCACTACATGTAGACGTAGGAGGTCGTAAATCTCCGGATCCTCTTGATACAGTTAGCTTGGTAGTGAAGTACTACACTGAAAAGTGAGACTTGACACTTCTTCGTGTAGTGTCACGTGGTGGTAACTGGTGATTGCTGGTCTCCTCCAAGCTTTCTTGAGGTGTGGAAGGATGAGAAAGGCCTTCACAATGACTGCACCTAGTATGTAAAAGCCCTTCGGCAGCTACTGCATATGAGGAAAGTCTTAGATGACCTCGAGCTAGAGTTACTAGTATTGGTTATAAGGCTTGCGACTGCTTCCGTAACTTTGTTTGGCAATATGAATCTTGACTGATTGGCTCATTACTGAGTAACGCTTATGTCATGATGCGTTTGCCTTAAATATCCACGCGACAACTTTGTTTGTTGATAACAAACGGTCGATCATAGCACTAGAACAATGGGTGCGACTATGATGCGAGAAACAATGGAAACCATTGTGCGCTTGTATCATTTCGGATGTACCAGCTTTTCCGAACTTCCAACGACCATTGGAGAATTTTCATAGAAGCTATGACCGGCGAATCTTTTTCCCCAAAATTATAACCCTTGACATCTTTCCTTAAAATGATAGCTGTTCGAGGTTGCGAGAACCTTTCCCATGCCATAAAACATCTGGCAAGAGTATCATTAAACATCTGGCAAAACAAGTCGTTAGGCTCGGGAAAACCGAACTCATTAGGCAGCTGGAAAGAATCGCTATACCCAAAATCTAAAATCGAACGGTATGTACCGCCCCCACCCCTGTTGTCAAGTCTGTCATGCGACCGACAGAGGCGCGTCGAGGACAATTAGATCGAAAGCTCTTCTTGCCACGAAGGCCAAGAGAAGGCTGAGCTTCATGATTGAAGGCGATGCCGCGAGAGTCGCTGCTCTCGCTCTATAAGCCGCAAGCTCTTTGATTGGACACAAGAAACGGGAAGGGATCCCAAGTGGACACCATAATCAGTAAACTGTATTTAAGAGGGACAACCATAAGATTTAATCACTCACGTTGAAGTGCTCAAAGAAAAATGAAGAAGAAAAAAAGTTTGCTCATCAAAGTCCGAATACAAGTATTTACGTTGAAGTCCTCATAGAAGAAGGACGTGGCAAAGTTCTCTCAGCTAAATCCAAGACTAGTCTTCGTTTGTAGTCTCATATACTCAAGGCGTCATACCTATCATCTCCCAATCAAGGTTTCTCTAGGAGCCAGGTCACTGAGCATACTTAAAGGATTAATGCCGCTTCAAAGGTACTTAACAAAGGTAGTTAACTAATTCTATTGCCTGTACTGAAGGAAAATCGAGCTAGTGCCTCACACGCATAATGTATCCGTCTTCGCGTCATTCAGCGCTCATCTTGCAGAAACATCGAAAGCGCACGTGCCTCCAGCGCACGAAGCAATCGCAGAGACATCATGCGGCTCTACTTGAAGAAGTGGTAAGAGCTTTACAATCTCTCACTTCCCAGGGAATAGCACCTGTGCACTACGTCAAGAGGATCAGGAAATTTACAACTTTCCTACCTCTGGTTAAGGTGCATGCTAAAGCCAAGTGTGATCTGCTCAGAACCCAAGAATTCATCGATGGATATCAGCAACAAGAATTATTCCTGTATTTGGAAATTAACGGGATAAACAGCAGAACAAACAGATGTGTTAATATTGAATTTAATACGCTATCCCTTCCTCTTACCCGCACACCTCTACCACATAATATCACGTGGTCTCTGATTTAATTCTAAACGTTTTGGTTCTTCTAACCGGATTTGGTGAACAAGCCGGATCATCGGACACATTTTGTACAATAGCCATTAGGATTTTTCCGTAAATGATAACATTCGAGAAATCCTCTGAATCTCGAACACTAATGTATTTTAAAAATCGAAGAATAATTGATGATTTATGTTTTTTAACGAAATCTGTTGGTTACAATTTACTTATTTATATTACTGTATTTGTTTATTTAATTACAATAATTTATATACGAACATCAAGGAAAAGTAATTCTGAGGATATTACGTAATAGTATACCTAATATATTACACAACACCTTAAGTTTAAATTACATTTATTCATATTCTTAAGAATAATATCAATTACTACTTTGTGACACATACAGAACAATATTTACATGTTGCAATTAAATAGTATTATTTATTACTGGACGCCAAACACCATATACTTTCTCTGCTGTTGTTCCCTTCGTAGACCTCCGTTCTGAAAAAAAATATAAATATAAAATATAAAAATATAAATAAGAATAGAATTGAATTTGAACATTTTAAAGGAATTGTTATAGTTGTATATATCTTAATTGTAAAAATTTTTATAATAACAGTACTAGTAAATCATGATAATTATTTAACTTACTTTTTATAAACATATTATGGCATGCGTCATCGCAATCGTCTCTGCATTCTATCTTAATAGCTATATTTTATTAAATATAGAAGAATAAATATTTTTATGTATGTTTATACTAAATAATATTTGTTTATTTATTAAAATTAATTTTTATTTTTATTTTACAAATAGCTGTTATGTATATTATGTATACGTGTATAAAATAAGTATATATAGTTTAACTGGATGATTCACGGCTAGAATAACATAAACACGAATTATAGTAAACTAGGTTAGTGGAAAGTACATTGGATTATGATAAATGGATTTCTAATTGTTTATTTCATAATCAATAATTTGAACGTGCTGATCCACAAATTACAATATATTTATTATATATATTCAATTATAGACCAGAATAGCTTTGATTATAATCGTTCATTATTACAGTTAAAACATTTTTCATTTTATAATTAAGGTATGAACACTAAATTTTCATAAAACCGTCTAAGCTTTCACAAACGTTGTTCAGAATCAAAACAATCCAAATCGACCTGGAGACGCACACCATATATTACAACGATTATAAATAATAATCATTTATATATTCATTTTAAAAAATTAGAAATGCAAAAATAATATGTATTTCTGATTAAAATCAAAACTAAATGCGATGACTATTTTATGATTCCAAAATAAACTTTATTCTTTGAAAAAAAAAATATTAATAAATTATAAGTAAAAAACTGTATATGTAATAATATAATTTAAAAATAAAAGACATACCTTTACAACCCATAAGACACAAAAGTACTGACCGATATCGCGTACTTTCTAAAATATGACCAATGAAATATAGAAAAGATATAGAAAAAATTTTAAAACGGAATGATTTGTTCTTTTATATAATAAAGGACAAAAATTATCAGAATTATTCGAAAATGATTAATATTCTCATAGTCAAAATCTATTGTGTTAAAAGGTTTTAAGTTAAATGAAAAAAGTATATAAACACCGATTAATGAATGTAATTACACTAATTCGACAAAGTGACTGAAATGAATACAAAGAATCTGTACTTTATAAAATGGAAATATATTTATTAAAAATAAAAACAAAATTCCTCAAATATACAATGAACTAAATGAACGTCAAATAAAATTAAATTCACACACACATAAGTAGGCACACACACATGCACACACCCACGACATATATATATATATATATATATTGAATTAAAATTATAAATTGACCTTATTATTAATTTAAAATTTAAGAGATGTTTATATATCCCTAAAGTACGTATATTTCTAACACTTTCAACACGTGAAAAGATATCATTTTGTATATAAAACATTCATTTTACTTACTTGCATACTTTCTAATGCAAGAATAATTGCATTCA